TTTCTCAGGCTCTCTCGTGCGCTCTCTTTGTCGCTCTCCACCGCTCGAACGCAGTCCACAATCTTGTGCAAAACAGGTTCTTCTGGGATCTTTTCATCCCGTGACTCGTACCAGAGAATAAAAGCATCCCACATGAGACGGAAGAACACTTCTAAACAGAGCTTGTGTGCCCTTATTCCTCGGTTGTAAGATTTCTCTTTCATTAAAGCGGACGTCGAACCAGCAGCGTATACGCCTGACTCAATCAAGAGGTCATCAAGTCCAGAATCAGCGAATTTCTTCCCTAACAGTGAAAGAAAGTTCAGAACAATATGAAATCCGCCCTTGCGTACCACTACGTTGGAGAACTCGTTAGGAAATCTCCACTGTATTTCCTTTGCCTTGCTATATATGGCAAGGTCAAAGGTTATCACGCCGTCGGCTTGACCCATCGCAGCACTTATCTTCTGTGCATGTTTCAGCACTGTGTATATGGTCGAAAAGTCATTAGATGATCCATCGATCATTGGACAGTAGCCAATATTGCTCACTACTGGCATCTCAGGATAGAGAATGGCGTTAAATCCTGCCCAACTTGGAATTGATTGCTTTTCCCAAACATCTGCAACGACAGCTTCTCCAAATTTCTTGGGACAGAGCCGAAGAAGAGTCCAGATGAAATCAGCTTTTCGAGCGGTGCCTGTTTCATTGTTCAAATCATCATACCACTTTGTGTCAACAGAGCCAACGTGATCAGTTACAGCTGGACGTCTTCCTCGAACTGGACACTGTTCGATGTCGTACACCGTACCCGTTGCCTGTAATGAACGTCGCTTTGGTCTCTGTTCTACTGGGCTGGGAGGTGGATCTGGACCAAAGGTTCTGTTCTGATAAATAACCATGGTGGTTGCATGTGTAGTAGTCTTCCCATCGATAGTCTCCTCATTTATATCATTATTGTTGGCGGCAATCTGTACAAACGAACCAGCCTTTATTACAGTTGGTATGACAGTACCGAACTCTTCAGCCTTGGCGAGAACGTCCTCTGCAATACTTGTATTCACTGCACGCATCTCATCGTAGGAGACGCAATGTCCCGTTCTGTTTAGCAGTTCGATAAGCCGCGTAGATGTTGTCAGATGATGAACACATATAGCTAAGCTGGTGTGCTTAGGAAGCTTAACACGTCCCTTGGAATTGCAATGAATGATATCTTGTGCGATACTGAGGATTTGTCGTTCGTCCTCAATTGCGGTAGACTGGTTCAACGCATTAGAGGGTCTAGCCCGCTTATCTGAGACCACGAGCTGCTTGATTAGTAAATACAGAGAGTCCGGGATGAGTTGTCTGGCGGTCTCCATGCTGACGTCTTGAGTATTTAGTGGTTTGGTGTTAATACCTGTACATTTCTTTATCTCTTGTTTGATTAAGCTTGCCACACGACGTATTTCACTTGACTGTGGTGTTTCATTGCCGTTGTTGACGCTTACGTTTCCATTTTTGGGGCTCTGAAATACTGCCCATGGGGTTAGAACATCTTGAATGTTAACGGTACTTGCATAGACAAGTTCAGATTTACTGCGGTCGGCTGGCTGATGGAAGACAATCGAAGTGGAAAAATGCTTTTGCAAGCGTATTTTAAGATTTAAGTGGTGTAACTTTCCGGACTATCAGCGCCTTTTTGTGTGAGAATTTCCTGATATTTGCTTAATAGAGACATCATATCGTATGCTCTGCCTTGTTCGATACCAGCAGCTAGATCAAATACAAGGTCTTGAAAAGCCCTTTCGTGAGGTGAATCTAGGGCTTCTCCTTTGGGCAGGCTAAACGAGGTTTTCTTACTGACGTAAGTAGCGAAACAGTTCTTATGGTACTTTGCCTCTGCTGCGATGAGGTCTCCGTTCACACCATTTAAAATGTGTAACATAGAGCTATCTCCTTTTCCTTCAGCTGCTATTCGGATGCTTTCACAGGCCACGAATGTGCATAGATTGATAAGATCTCTACTCTTTTTATGAGTCTTATTTTTACAAATGAAACACCTCGACCAATCAACTGGGGCCATTGCTGAATGAAAAGTCCTACTAGAGATGACGTCGACTTTCTTTTGCCGGCTTGTATGCTGTAAAGCATCGCTATGCGTTTTATAGCGAATATTTTGGTCACTTGTGTATGATGCATAACAAGTTGAGGGCCAATGAATTCCCGTGTCGGCGTCATGACTCACAAACCTTGCCCGCACTTCCTCGTCACGACGCTGTTCCGTTGCCTTTATCGCTTTTTCAATAGAGTCTTCCTTTGCCTTTCTAACTGGTTCCCCTGGGCGGTCAGTCTGGCAAATAATACACAATGTGCTACGGGACAGTTTTCTTTTTCTCAATTTTGGAAGTAACGGTATGGCGAAGCCCTCAGGAAAGGAACCTTTATCAGCCATTCTATAATCTAATAACGAATTTTAAAGTAATGTGTCACATAAAAAAAAATCGAAGCCAAAAAAGAATATGGCAACCAAATCTAAACATTTTGAAATATCATTTGACATTGTGTTCTAAAAGGACATGAAAAACGATTGTCGATTGTTGAGGTTGTTTTTTTTATTATTTTATAAAAGTATTAGTTGAAGTAAGTAAGATACAGCTATTCTATAAATGTACTTGCAGAGATTGCACTGCTTCGGCCATGGAGGCAGCCATGTTGGATGATATAGCCTCGTTTTGAAGATTCTTGAAAAAGAGGCTTCAGCCTCATTTCAGTTTCCCACAAAAGTAACGATGATACTTGCAAAAATGAGCTAACACACTACAGAATACCCGCAATTTCTAACCACAAAATCTATAATTAAAGTATACTAAAGTATAGTATACAGTAGATGCCTAAAACAGGCCCGAAAAAATGTAGAATCAAGTCATGTAGCCATAAATTACAATAAATAACAGTCTTATTTACGGAAGAAGACTTCCTGGGACAATAACACCTATTGTTGATTTAATAGCCATTTTCTAGTACTCAAAGGTACTGAAATAAAATTTTTGGCCTGTCTGAGGTCACGTGCTCGGTCACGTGACCTTGCTTTGCAATGTTTGAGCGTGATTGGGATATAATTTGTTAAGAAGTAACGATATTAGAGGTTTCTCTTGATAAACAATTGCAGATAACGCCGTAAACAGAAGCTACGGGAATGAGCCTCGTTTTCATGTTGACCCGGAAACGGGAGAAAAATGGTCATTCTTTTATTGTTTCAGTTTCAATAAGCTAGAATTTGTCTTAAAGTGTGTAATGCACCAACAGTAAGTGTAAAATATCTTTATCTCTTTGGTCACGTTGCAAATTTCGACGCATAATAACATGAGAGGACGGGGCTTCTGGAAACTAAATACCTCATTCCTAAAGGACGAAGAATATATAAAGAAAATACAATCCATTGTAACTCAAACTAAAGATGAATATGCACTGGATAATACTGTCGATCCAAACTTACTGCGGGAAATGATAAAAATGAAAACGAAAATTAGAGAGACATCAATTGAGTTTGGCAGAATAAATAAGAGAAAAATGTTTCAAAAACAAGATGATATAGAAAAGACAATCAAAATCCTGGAGGAGCAGACCGCCAACATTGATGCCACTGACTGCCAAAATGTATGGTCAGAGTTAGAAAAGAAAAGACGGGAACTTGAAACCATAATCGAATACCAGACAAAAGGGGCTATTCTAAGATCTAAATCGCGATGGTACAATGAGGGCGAAAAAAACACTAAATACTTTCTAAACTTAGAGAAGAGACACTGCAAACAAGGAACAATTACCCAATTGGAAGTTAATGACAAAGCCTTAATCCAATCCCACAGAGAAATCTTACACGAGTGCGAGACCTTTAATAAAAATCTCTACAGTTCAAAAGTACAAGTTAACGATTACCCGGAAGTTTTCTTTCCACCTACACGAGAAGTATTAAGTGAAGAAAGAAAACAGCATTGTGAGGGTCTTTTAAGTTCTAAAGAGTGTTTGGAAGCATTAAACGGTATGGCCACGGAAAAAACACCTGGTACTGATGGCCTGCCGTGTGAATTTTATAAAGTTTTTTGGAAAGACGTAGGCGAAACACTAACAGAAACAGATGTATCAGTGACAATATACGCACATTAGATAGTGCTATTAAGTATGCAGAAAACAAAGGTTTACCCGGTCTACTTCTTTTCCTCGATTTTGAAAAAGCTTTTGACACGTTAGAGTGGTCATTCATAAACCAAACGTTACGGCACTTTGGGTTTGGCGCCTCACTGTTAAACTGGGTTGAGCTATTTTACTGCAATACCGAAAGCTGTATACTAAACAATGGATGGGCAAGCAATTTCTTTGAGTTAAGTAGAGGTGTTAGACAAGGCTGCCCCCTATCGCCTTATCTCTTCATACTGTCCGTAGAAATACTCGCTGAAGCTATTCGTAATAAGAAAGAAATAAAGGGCATCAAAATTTATAATAGCGAAGTTAAAGTTAGTCAATATGCGGATGACACGACACTCATTTTAGATGGAACTGAAGAATCAGTAAGAGCGTCACTGTTACTGATAGAAGCATTTGGGAACATATCTGGCCTAAGGCTGAACAATGAGAACACAGAGGCCTTGTGGATAGGTTCTAAAAGAAACTGCAACCTGAAACTCTGTCCGGAAAAAAATTTTAAATGGCAAAAGGGAAAGGTCAAAGCCCTAAGCGTGTGGCTCTCTACAGATCACCAGTTAACACTCTCTCTCTCAATTACAACGAGAAATTGGCAAAAATTCAAACTATCCTGGGATGCTGGAAATTTAGAAGACTTAGCTTAATAGGGAAAATAACAGTACTAAAAAGCCTTGTAGCATTCCAACTGGTCTATATACTCACACCTTTGCAAACGAATCACCAAGCAATAAAAGAGATCAACAAGCTTTTTTTCAATTTCTTATGGAAAGGCAAAAAGGATAAAATTAAACGCTCGATCATGATCAATGACTACCCTGAAGGAGGACTAAAACTGATTGATATTGCCTCTTTTAACAAATCACTCAAGGCTACGTGGATTAAAAAGTATCTAGATTCAGTAAACCGTGGCAAATGGAAAAACGTCTTTAATTTGGCGCTGGGAAAATACGGGGGAAGTCTTTTTTTCGAACTGGGAAATCTTAATAGAAAGGATATTGATAAGCTAAAGATAGAAGACCCTTTTATCAAAGAAATTGTAGAAATTTGGTCTGACACTTTCTTCGAGAGGAAAATAGTATCAAAAGATCATTTTCTATCTCAACCTCTGTTACAAAATTCATTAATAAGAATAAATAACGCACCAGTTTTCTGCAATGATTGGCTTAAAAAGGGTATAACAAAAGTTAAACATCTAATGGACGAGAATTCTCTCAACTTTTTATCCCTCGACCATTTTCAGAACAGATATAACATTCGAGTAAAACCCTTAATGTTTTTCGGAATCGTCTCAGCCGTGAAATCTTTACAACGACAAATCCCGAGAACACATCTATGAAGCAGTTTTCATATCAAAAATACTATTCACTGTGCAGATTCAATTATGTCTTCTTGTCATTCAATTATGTCCGTTTGTCATTCAATTATGTCTTATTGTCATTCAATTATGTCCGTTTGTCTTTTAATTATGTCTTCTTGTCATTTAATTACTATATCTCATCAAGATTCAATTATGTCTTCTTTTCATTCGATTTTGGTCGCTTGTTATTTAATTATGTCTGCTTAACATTCAATTAATCTGTAAATTACTATGTCTACTTGTCATGCTATTATATCCAATTATCATTTAATTATCACATTTTGTCATTAAATTTGCCTTTTTGTTGACTGTTTGTCCTTCATTCAATGGGGTCGTTCCATCGGCGTTCCATATGGACTGATCACTTGAAAACGAGAAGAGTCTGGGACTAGAAATCAAGCTTGATAGATCACACAAGATGGCGGCAAGTTGGACGTGTGTTGTGAAAGAGAGGATCCAATGCGGACTACTTGAGATCATACAGAAGTTAAATACTAGACATTTACAGTACCATGAAGCAGATTATCTGTATTATAAGCTAGATAGATTGGAAACCATCTTGTCTCAGTATGCCCAGCTTGCGAACATCGACGACCGTGTATTCTGCTGTATTTCAGAGGTCAAGTATCTGATAAGGAATGAAATACAGAGAAACGAAGGAAATGGCGATGGTTTTCAGTGCGAAATGGTATTTAGTGGAGATCGAGGGCGTCCACGCTATAATATAACCGAAGAACAACTGGAGTATTTCCTCGATTTTGGTTTTACAGCAACAGAGATATCTGCTATGTTAGGCGTCAGCGAACCAACAGTCAGAAGACGCCTCCAAGAATTTGGGTTAAGTAGTAGGAACCTTACAAACATTTCAGATGATGCACTTGATAGGATTGTAAGACAAATTAAGGAAGACTTTCAACAAAGTGGGTACAGGGTGATACGAGGAATTTTGCGTGCCAGGGGGTATCACATAGCAGAACGCCGTATAATGGAATGTCTGAGACGAGTCGATTTAGAAGGTGTTATTTTACGCTCTTTGCAGCTTCAAATAGTTCATCGAAGGGAGTACAAAGTGTATGGGCGAATGCTCTGTGGCATATCGATACGAATCATAAGTTGATAAGGCAAGTTTTAAAGAAATCTCCTGGAGGATGTTCCTTGGAATTCTTGGTGAAGGGTGTGCCGCCCGGTTCCCCAAATCCAAACCCTACATGTATTTCAGAGCCAAAAAATGTCAGTTTCGGTTTCTACACCCGTTTTCAGACATGGCCTCTGAAATCCATAGCCTTTTTTTCGGCCGACATTATGTCTTCAGTACTTAATTTAGAACAACAACACAAAGATTTCTTACAATCCATATTCACGTATTCGAATTTGCAGTCTTTCTTTCTTAGTCATTTCGAATTGAAACAACAAAGACATTCATACATGCCTTTAGTTCCCTTTGAACCCCTTCCTGATTCCAGACCAAAATAGGAATAGTGCATACCCGTTTTCAAACCAAAATTGGCTCAAAAACTCTGGGGCAGCACATACCTTTAAGGCTTATATTTAACAATTATTCCTTGAGTCTGAATGGGCTGTTTAACAATTATTCCTCGAGCCCGAATGGGTTATTGATAAAGAGGCAATGAGGGCCAGAGGAAAATTGTTTTAGTGAAAAAAAAAAACAAGTTGGTAAAAAATATTGAGACAAAACAACTTTAGCTAGTTAAAGCTAGATAGCTTTAACAATAGAAAACAATAATAAGATGAGAGAATAAGAAAACAATAATTGTTGAGCTAATTAGCACCTGCATGAAGCACGAAATTTAAGTTATGAAAACAAAATAATTCATATTTATCATGAGACAATAGTTTTGGTGTGTGTAGTTTCAAATGTAACATAATTCACACCTGAACTACCCTTCACTATGAAGCAGATCCTTGTCCCTAATATACCACTTAACACGCCAACATTTTTGATACTTATAGATAACCGTGACAACTTAGTCAGCAGCAGTGCACAGGGAAGAGATCTGTCAAACCATACGAATCGCAAAGTCACTTCCCCTTTCCTCTTTACAATCTTCCACTTTGCCAGCACCAAGTAAGACACATCACATGAAATTGAGGCAACACATTTAAATTCACTCTTTCTGGGCAGTGTTAACATTCCTATTTCCTGGGAAAGAAAAGGGGTTAAATGCCATGGTAAGGCTTCAATTTGATCAGTACACTATTATCACCATAATGTGTTGATTTTGATGTTTAATCATACTCAAAATTTTCAGATGGAGGCTAATAATACATGGTGGCATAGATGGCTTTTCTCGTGCAGTAGTTTACCTGGCTTGTCACAACAATAACCGAGCTGAAACTGCTCTCAGTGAATTTCTCAAAGCTGTTGATAATTTTGGTGTACCCAGTCGAGTGAGGACAGACCAGGGAGTGGAAAATGTTGATATTGCCAGGTACATGTTGACCCACCCTGAGAGGGGTGAGGGACGTGGCAGTCACATCACTGGTAAGAGTGTACACAACCAGCGAATTGAAAGATTGTGGAGGGATGTGTATCATGCATGCCTATTTAAGTACCATGCTCTATTCAGGTTCATGGAGGACATTGGTGTACTTGATGTTGAAGATGAGGTCCACTTGTTTTGTCTTCACTATGTCTTTATTCCACGGATCAGAAATCACCTTTCAGAGTTTGCCAGGGGATGGAATAATCATGGAATGTCAACAGAAAGAAATAAGACACCAATGCAAATTTGGGTACAGGGGATGTTCAACTTGTCAAACAGCAACCACAGATCTGCGAGGGAGTTCTGGGAGCCAAGAGCAAATGTAAGTCTGCAGCTGCTGCATTATTGTTGACCTTGTATTGTTCTTCAAAATTATATATGGAACATTAATGCAGAAATTATATTAATTCCTATCTATGATGTTCCAATAATACCATAGTTACCTTTATACCTGTACTTCCATTTTTCTAGCCACTTATTGATATGAATAAAGACAGTAGAGATTTGGTGAAAAATTGGGGGGGGGGGGGGGTCATCGCTGGATGAATGTGCCAATGTGGTATTTCAAACCCCATTACCTTGAACGATTGTATTTTTCACTACAGGAAGAGTTCAATGCCTATGGAGTAGACTGGAATGGACCTGTGCCTTCTCTTGAGTTTGGAAGTTTACTAGACAATGATGTGGAAGGAATAGAAGTGCCTGACATTATGGTTCCATTCTCACTGCAGACAGTGTCAACCACTTTGAATAGGATCAACCCATTGGGGAGAAGTAATAACTATGGCATAGATTTATATCAAATGGCATTGAGTTTGCTCAGAAATAGAGGCAATATTTGAATCCTTCCTCCTTGACATTCAGTTAGTTTTATCTGCCTATTTTGTGAAAACTTTGCACCATGAAAAGTATTAACAAAGTCAAAGTCATTTTTTGTGACACCACGCCTTGTGAAAGAAAACGTGATCATTTTATTCAATCATCATTAAGAGAAAAGGCTGTTAATTTTTAAGCAAGCACTCCTACCACTGTACCACTGCAAATGGCTCAATCATTATAAATCATTACAGAAATAGGATATGCAACTTTGAACTTTTTGCATAATCAAAAGAAACTTCAACTTTACATGAAGCAATTTTACATGTTGGGTGGACCATATAACCAAACAGTACTACTTAAAAGATGCTGTTTTCATAAACAGCTAGGTCATTTTCAGCTGGTACATGTACATACACCATGGTCAATCAAATCAAACCCCCATGTCAAAAGTTAATTGGGAAAGCTATGTGGGAAGAATGAAACAACACAAATTACTTGCAGGAAAATGAAATTTATGTCCTACTTTTCTGGTGGTACTATTCTAACATTGCCACAATAAAACCCTTTGTTTTGTGCTGCAACAGATTATCTTAAGCTACTTTAGTGTTTAAGACATATTTTGGTTGGAAAAGGAAAACCCTTTGCATTCTATACATTCTTAGGAATCCGTGTATAACAACAATAGGGAACTTAAGCAAAGACGTTTTTGAGCGACGCATGTCGACCGGAAGTGAGGCCTTCTCTCTTCTCATATGCCCGGATGCTAACAAATTTGTATTGCTAAGTTTTTTCGCTTATAAAGACGATTTACCCAAGAGTTTCAACAGAACCACTGCCCAATGGTGCAAAAAGGCCACTTCCGGTTGACGTCCGTCGCTCAAAAACGCTGTTGCGTTTTAAAATCTGTAAAATCTGAACAGACCAAGCCGATAAAACACGCAACTGACGATAAAACACGCAACTAACGACGGCATACAGTCCAAGATGTTGACATAGACAATGATGCTGAATAGATAAAATAACGACCATAGGAAATCAGCATCTACCAAATCCTTTGTGTTGAAAGTTTAAAACTATATCCAAACTTTTTGTAAAATCCTTTTTCATCTTGTGATCAATTGGAAGGCTGATGGTTCCTGTGCATGCATCAGCATCAGGCAAGCTCTTTCCAGGTCGGTTAAACTTAACATAAACTGGTTGTGGCGGCATGGTTGGTTCTCCAAACACAAACTGTACAAACTTCTCAATGGTTGATGAATCTGATTCTGGGAAGGAAGAATACATGTTTAAACAAAATGTTCTTTATGGCCTACCTCTAGTTATTGCAACTGTGTTTTGTTTGCTATTTGTTTTTTATTTTTAATATGGCTTTATTGTAAACTCGGTAATCTCATTCACTGGCACAGTAAACCCACTTTTGCATTTGAATTTCAGTATGAAAATCATTGCTTGAGGTACAGTTGACTCCCGGTAACTCGAACCCTCTCTAACTCGAACCTCCCGTTAACTCGAAGCAATTTTCATTTCCCTTCAGAACATTTTCTATATAATTTTACCCTTGATAACTCAAACTTTTTCTGTTTCCCTTGAAGGTTCGAATTATCAGGAGTTGACTGTAAAGGGAAATCTGTATTGCTTGGAAGATAGAACAAGCCCAATCGAATACTATGTTTTCTCATAACTTGAATATCTGAATAATTTAAGTTTTCAATATTTAAATTAATTTTTTTGCAGGTCTTTATGTTCGGTTTAGTTAAGTCTTTCTTTTCAGTATCAAGTTGATTGCACCTGGGATGTACAGTCAACTCCCTATTATTACAGTCACCTCCATGGGACAAAAAACTGCCTGTAAAGAAAACACACACTTAGAGTAAAATTATTGGTCCCTGCCTTTCTGTATGTCTTTCCTTGGCTGTAAATTGACACAATAAGTGACCATCCCAATAATAGAACTGACTATATCAACAAAATTATCCGCAGGAAAGCTCAGAGTTGCAAGCGTTTTGAAAGAAATGACAGAATTTCCAAACAAGAAAAAATGAGATTGTAAACGTGAAAATTATACTGTTATTAGCAGATATCATAATCCACCACTTTTTCCTGACATGTTTATAACACCTTTGTAGTACCTGTGTCAGATGGAAGATTACCAACATACTCCTTACACCAGTTTAGGATTGTTTCTTGTTGTTCATTCAATTCTCCCACTGAAGGGTCACACTTGAGGCTTCTCACCACCAAATCAGATTGAAGTTTTACATCTGCAGCTGTGGCAAAAATGGTCTTCCAAAGTGCAGGGTGATCTTTCAGAAAGGAAGTAATAGATGCTGTCTGCAGACCTCTCCTGATTTCCTGTATAGGATCTTTCTTATACATCAGTACTTGGTGGACCAGTACTCTCTGGCATGCCTGCTGTGAATTCTGTTTGTTCAACAGCTTGTTCACAAAACCACATTGAATCAACAGGTTACTAACCCCTTCATCTGCATTCAGGTTCTGAAAGTCCTCATCTTTTGATGCCCTTGCAATCTAACAAAAAGGTCACACTTATCATAAATTATGGTCTGGCAACAGAAATCATTGTAAATAGCCCAGTAGAAAATACACACGAGAGTATACAATAATGATAATTATTATTGTATATGCTCATGTGCATTTTCTAGTTCATAAATGGAATAAAGAGTTCACTGGATAAAATGCAGTGTAAAATGAATTTCAAGCTAGCACTTCAGATGTACTACCGGATCACTAATGCTTTTAACATTACCTTTTTGAGAACATCTCTAACTTCAGGATCAGGGATATCCTCAACTGCCAGAAATGGAATACTTTCATCAATGTCATCTGTGATAATGTAGTGGGCAACTGCTTGAGACATACCAACAAATGGGTATCCCCCATGGAGAAAGGATTGTGCTAATGCCTGACCAACAAAGAAATAGAAGCCAGAATCTAGGCAATCAACGTCATACAAAGGGGAAAGATGGCCTGGCTGTCCCTCAAACAAAACGGTTGTACCATCACCTCCTCTAATCTTTGACATCAATAAGTACAGATATTCACGGGTCAGTCCAGATGCATCCATTCCATCCTCTCCTTCAAATTCCACATCTGGTGCTTTCTTCACATCAATGCCTTTCTTGAACAACTTAAAGACCTCTCTAATAAAATGAGGGGAATCTCGATTTATCCTTATTGTTTGGTAGGGCAGTTTCATTATTGTGGCTTGCCGGAAAGTTTCCAAGGCTTCACTTGGGTCTAAGTCCTTTAACATTACACTGTTCTGGTAAATTGTGTCTAGGAAAGAACACATGTGTAACTGTTAAATGAGGCACATGAAAAGGCTATACATACTAGCCTATTAAACCAAACTACTTGAAGTTGACTTGTTTACAAAGAAATTTTGAAGCTAATACTCCAATTCCCATCCATTTTTTCTTTTTCAAATATTTCTGCCATTAAAATTTATCTGATTTCTTAACACTGCTTAGATAACGATATAGAGTGACACAAATTTTCAGGATACACACCACAATTTGAGGTTGGTCAGTCACCCTGAATATCACTGAATGTGGTCTAAAAACATAGGTGTTACAGCAAGGAGCCTTAAAGTGTGACCACTTTTGAATTATTCATATTCTTTTGTACAGATATATATTCCGATCAGAAGCAAGCTGGAAACTGTCCTACACTTCTAAATGGGTAATTTCTGTACAAAAAAATGTGAGTTAATGAAAGGTAATTGACCACTCCAGAAATACCATACCATACCATAATGCTCTTTGTTTAAGACCCCAAAATTTTGCATAAGCATTGTTTTCAGTTTCTCTTGGGGCCATTTTAACTCCCAAGAGAAACTGAAGACAATGCTTATGCAAAATTTTGGGTGACAAACAAAGAGCATTTAATGGTGTGTTATGGTATTTTCTTGAGTGGTCAATTACACTTTTGGGCTCCTTGCCGTAATAAAAGAATTGATGTATTTATATTTAAAAAAGTCACTAATAATTCATAAAAAATAATGTTTAACAAGTGTCTTTATATCTGATAAAGACACGGCTAAACTTTACCCCAGTTTTTTAGACCAAATTTAACCCCAAATCTAAATATTAGTTAAAAAATAAACAGTAAATTTATGTACTAAGTTGCAAAAAATGTATAGACGTAATTACTTTGTTGTTCAAGCATCCAGTCTAAAGTCTCTTCAACAGAACTCGTAGCAAGGAGTTTCTTCCTGACATCTTGTTCATTGGCATCGGGGATCACATCCAATATTTCACCAAGCATTTCATCAAAGTTCTGTGGATAAAAAGATGACATTGAGAGTAACATTTTACGTGAAAACCACTGTTGAGAGTGAAAGAATATTGTGTTTTTGGTGAATACTTTTTCTACTCCATTTCAAATCTCATCTCAAGTTATTATAAGCAACTCACCTTTATAGGTACTGCTGCTGAAGAGAATTCACCAGTTGGCTGCGTGGTGTTTCTAATTAAAAACCCATTAATAGTAGAATATAACTAAGTAATGTAAGATCACAAAAACTGACTTGTTGCACTTAGCCTTAAATTAAATCCAAAAAAATGTCAGAACTTAGTATTTTGATTTCAAAAGAATGTTTCTTTGCCTTTTATTAGCAAGTGGAGGTACATTTGTATATTAATGTGTCTTTGATTCTCATTTCTTTCCACAGAGGTACTGTTATTTTTATCAATATTATTTGTAAGCAGAACAAGTTTCCAAAAGATAAATCTTTACTACAATAAAATTTTAATATTAAGACAACATTACAGATGTGTGAAAAGTTATGCCTAATGGAATCAACTGAATCATAACGTCTTTAAAAAGGTGACTTATCAAACTACCCTAAAAACTCGCAGATAAGCCGCATGCCAAGTTTAGCAACTCAAATTTGGGAAAAAAATTTTTAAGACAAAAACTCAAAAGAAATCCAAAAGTCTAGTCTAAGAAGTCTTCTGTCTTCATCCAAGGTAAACTCGCCAACAATGAAACCATAATTTTGGCTCTTTAGTAGAACAAACATCATGTCCACCACTTATGACATATGATTGATATTATTCATTATTCTAGTATTTGTTAACAGGTATTATTTCTCCATTCAAGACAGTTTTTCCATAGAATTTTGCTGTTTTGTTGCGTGGACTGTTTGAAGCTTAGTGCTCAGGCATAATAACTGGACACCTGGTCACCTATGATTTTGATCGAAAATTTTTGCAAAAAAGGTGGGGCTTATCTGCCAGTCTTTACAGTACTTCTTTCCAATCAATAATTTATTATATTTTAAATAGCTTGTATTCATTATTCATTCTAACTTGTCTTGTAACTGACAAGCCTTTTAAGGGAGTTGAAATAAGGTATGTTTATACGAATGTAAATTCATATTAGGTATTCTGTAAACTATAAATAAAAACTTGTGAATGTTATTATGTTGCCAGGAAAAAGCCAATCTGGCTAAATCTAAATCTGTAAACGGCAGTATTGGCATTGGAAAACAACTTAAAAAAACATTAACCCTTAATTTATGGGATATACTGAAAAACATTAATTAAATATAATAATAAAGCATGAGTAACTAAAGGAAGAGTTTTTTAGGCAAACCTCTCCTCTGTGCTTGACTTTTGGACCATTGGGGTATGTACATAATTATCCCTATCATCCCTCGACTCCTGTGGAATAAAAAAAGCACAGCCCTATCACTATGCATGTATATCGGTTTCTCTATTAGCTATAACTGAATGACTTTGACTCAAGTAACAATTCAACAATGGATCGTTGTATCTTACAAGTACTTCACTTATTCAAAACTTAAATTCAAGTGGAAATATATCAATTAAAAAAACCAATGAGTAGAGGAAAAAAGTTTCCATTCACTACAGGCTACAAATTAAAAAACTTGTGTGGGACACAACCCTGATATAACAATCTTAGATATCACGATATGCATTTTACATACACTAAATCTCTTTAGGTTTTGATTAAGACAAGAATACACTACAGGTACAAAAAATATGGTAAATATAGAGAATACTGTACTCATAAACCTAAGCGACACTAGATAGAAGAGTATCCATTTTACATGTTCATAAAGCAAATTTAATCTCACATTCCATCCATTACACACCTCACATCTGTCCCCTGTCTCCTTGGATGACCCTCCCTCACAGATCATCTGATGGTCTTGCCATAACGTCAGGGGCACATCATCTTTACAATTTATGCAAATTACCTTGGGGGCATTTTGCAAGTTACTAACAGCAGTGCTTTTCTGAATGTACAACAAATATAAAAATTAACACCAAAAAAAGATTCAACTTTATTCCCTGATTTGAAAGACAATTGACCAAGTGATCCAGACTCACCACTTCACAATTAAACAGAGTTTCCTTGAAGCTAGGGGAGGGGGTTGACATGCAAAATTTTCATGTCTCAAGTTACATCCTGTATCTGGTTCTGACTGGCATAAAATAGGGCAGAATTCCATAATATTTCCATGTGTTCAAATAAGTCAAGGGGCTATTATTTGTCGAAGTTCTCTTGAAAGGAGATTACAGGCCTTCTAGTGCTGTTGTTAGATTCTGCAACTCTTAAGTTCCAATGTACAAAAACTAACCAACAAAAACTAACCTACCTGTACGGGAAGTGGACTACGATCTAAGTCTTTTTGCAGGGGCCGCACATAACCAATGGCCTGTCCAAGACAATCTTTAAGATACGGAATGTCGTAGCCCATGGTTGGAATGGGAATTAAATCTAGGCTTCGTCTCGCTCCAGAAGATCTTAACAATTGAAACCCTCCTCCTTCGCTTAGTTTTGGAAATTCTTTCAACAAAGAAGACTGCAACTGTTGGTAGCCTCCGTACTTTTCGAAAGTAATTTTTTTTTCGCCGAGACCTGCTTCTTTTAAAATTACTTTCTCCTCTCTTGAAGGCACCGCCAACTGGTCTGATTCACACAGGCAGATAAACGTGTGAGTCCAGGTTTCCTTTGGTCTAAAACTTTTTGGGCCCACTTGAGGAAGCACTTGGTCGAAATCGCTTAAAGGGTTGACGGAACTAACTTTACCGGCAGATGCGCCCTGACTGTAAAACGGAAAAAGACGCGCCATTTCTTGTAATTCTCCCCTTTCAGTAAAAGGGGCAGGAACTTGAACTGAAGCTGCAGATCGATGCGCTGGATGATCTGGATGTTGCGCTGGATCTGCATGATGCGCTGGATGTTGCGCTGGATCTGGATGATGCGCTGGATGTTGCGGATGATCTGTCGCCGTGCATGGTGCCCTCAAGATATCAACCGCTTCATTAAGCAATGTTAATGCACGTTGATAATGTTGTTTTCCGTCATCTTCAATTTCCTTCGACGCCATTTTTTTGCAAGAAAGGCGCGTAGGAGCGCGTCAGTCAGTGATCAGCGGTGCTTTTGCGGGCTCAGGTACAAGTGGGCTACAAGCGGTCAATCGATATTGAATCGATATTGAATAATTGAATGGCAACAAGCCATAATTCAATGAAGTTCGTAAAGTAAGAAATTGTATGACAAACAGATCAATTATTAAATGACCAGGGAGAATTTAATGGCAAAAAGCAGTAATTGAAAGATAGTTTCGAACACAATTGAATGTCAAGCAGTCATGATGAGATATAGTAATTGAATTACAACAAGACATAATTGAATGACAACCGGACATAAATGAATGACAAGAAGACATAATTGAATGACAAACGGACATAATTGAAAGACAAACCGACATAATTGAATGACAATAAGACATAATTGAATCTGCACAGTGAATAGTATTTTTGATATGAAAACTGCTTCATACACATCAGCAGTATGAATGTCCTCTTAATACATTTCTCAAAAGCCAAAAATCATCTAGAATTGCTTACAAGCAACTAATAGCAAATAAAAGTGAAAAACCCATATCTTGTATAGACAAATGGCATAAAGACATCCACTCTTCAACCGATAAAAATGCTGACTGGCGAAACGTTTTTCAAGCAGCAAACACTTGTACAACGAGCTCAAAACTAATTGATTTTAATTTCAGATTTTTACACAGACGTTTACCAACTAACAGCTATCTGCAAAAAATAGGAGTCAAAGAGGACGAAAAATGTACTTTTTGCCATGACGAGAAAGAGGATTTGACGCATCTATTTTGGAAATGCCAAAAAACCAAAAATTTTTGGGATAATTTCTCGATATGGCTTCAGTCGTGCCAGATCCTCCAACCAGGCAGTTACTTAGACATGACTACCGCTTTGGGCCTAACCCCAGACAGCTCTTCCTTTAAGCTCCATATAAACTTCTGTTGTCTTATAGCTAAGAACTTTATCAGGATATGCAGATCAAAAGAATGTTTCCCAATTCACAACAATTTCTTGTTTTATCTAAGACGTATATACCAATTAGAAAATAAGACACCGCGCAATACAAAAAAATGGAAACCTTTCTTTTCCTCGCTGGGTCTAACTCCAAAAACATAAATTAGTAATATGTGCACCTACCCTGAGTATTTATATTACTTTCACCACAAAGAAAGGAAAAAAAAATGTAAAAATTAATTATAGATCATACTAAGTACAGTAATATATGGAATTAGCACTGCTGTAACGCATTTTAATATTTGTAAGTATAT